AAAAAGATCAAAAAACAACAATAGAAATTATAGAATATAACCTCCATTTAAACTCCACTCCTTAGCTTGGCGCCATATTGAATTTCGCGGTCGCGCTGATAAAGGCCTGGGGACTAGGTGCTCTACCGTATCTGAAATAGCCTTCACCTCTGAGAGCAATAAGCGCAGAAGCCCTGGGTACGAGGTTGGTGAAAAACGTTAACTTTACTTCCGGTCGACGTCTGTGTTGTCAAAAACGTCACTTGCTTAAGGTGGAGTAATACGAGCAACAAATTACTGCAATATTTCGCGCAACATTGTTGCGTTACAAGTTGCAGCAAGATATTGCGCGTATTACCACCCATTTATGCAATTTGACCTGCAACAAAATTCCGTGTTGCAAGTTGCCGAAATATGTAGCGAAAAGTTAAACTCACTTCTACTTTTTTCAACATTGATGCAACAAATCTAAAAAAAATAGCGGACGTTTCGGGAGCGACACTACAACAAGGCGAAGATAACACCGTTGAAATAACACAAGACTGCACGTCGTCTTCAACTACCGATACAAAATTATCTGAAGAACAAAAATTTCATTTGTTCAAAAAGTTGGAAGAGTTCCCATGCCTGTGGGACTCAAGCAAAGTCGCATATAAAAACAAAGCTCAAAGACAAAAGGCGACAGCGGAAATTTGTGAGCTGTTTAATCTTCTTCCAGCAACTTTCAAACGCGTAATACACAGCTCCCGGACAGCATTAGCAAGAGAGATAAAAAAAGAACAAGAAAGCCAAATAAAGTCACAATGGAAATTTATGGACGTTTTGTCGTACATGAAAGCCGAAATTTTGCAGGCGGCAAAGGCGAAAGAAGAGAAAGAATGGAATGACGAGGAAAACGAGATAATTATACAATTTTTTAAAGAAAACGAAGCTATGTGGAATCATAATATCCCTTCATACAAGGATAGAAACCTCAGGGAGTATAACTATCAAAACCTTAGCGAGATGCTTCCCAGGTTATTAAAATTATTGATTTTTTGCTAATATTAATTGTAGTCTTTGACTTTGTTGAGCCATTTTATTTTTCTGTTCGCCGCAATTTAGTCATGTTTTAAAAATGCTTTAGTTCTCACTGGCTATTCGAATTCGTATGCACAAATGTTTACTGTATAAATATGCGACTGCACAAGTGCAAAACGTTAGTTTACCTGCTAAAATTAAATCTCGCCATGTACCCAAATCTGAACAATGTTTTCCTTATAGCCTACTTGTTTTATTGGCATAATGTATTGCAATATTGGCTATATTTACCGTATAAATAGTAGAGGTCTTTATGTTCAGTTCTACTCTAGAATGCATATTTCAATAGTCAAACATTCGCGACTCACCTAAATTAAAATCAATATTTCAGTACATTTTACCTTTTTGCCTCAACGTCCCTAGGTTTGCCACGATTCATGTTTTTAATATAATTTTACATTTTTCCAATGTCTTTCGCTGGACTCGCCGAGATTTACGATGTAGAAAACCACTTGTTGACATGTTGTAATAGCCAAATAAAATGTTGTTTTTCACGGATGAGACATAAAGACGCCAACCGAGTGTTCCTTAGCCAATGAACATCGTGAAACCCAAAATACAATGTAACAAAAAGTTCCAAATAATATTCCGAAGCTTGCAGCAAGGCCAAGGAACAAAATTTTTTTGCATAAATAATTAAATAGTAACACTAACAGTGAAAATGTCATGTCACATATTCATTGTTTTATAATTTTGTTGCCGTTTCAGTCGTAGTCATGATGAAATAAAGAAGCAGTGGCATGTACTGAAAGCAATTTTTAGTCGTGAGTTGAAACGAGAGGAAGGAAGCAAGGTATCTGGACGTGGAACAGACTCGGTTTACAACTTACAGTGGAAATTGTTTAATGAAATGATGTTCGTTAAAGGCAGTGACAATGTTGATCCCTCAATTACTTCAATGACTGATCCATTCAGCGCAATACAGCCATCAAAAAGACTGAAAGCTGAAAAAGCAAGAGAGATGGAAGAGATGAAAATAAGTTTCTACAGAGAAGCAATAACCTGTTTGAAAGCACCATTGCCAAGCCTAAGTGTTGAGCATTGTTCAAAGGCAGCGAATGACGAAATATCATTATATGTAAAGTCAGTGGAGGGTACGCTGAGAAAATTTTCTCCACGCCAACTTGTTTTCGCAAAGAAGAGAATCAATGTTTGAAGTAGATTGAGTCCCACCAGCCAACTACTCCAACCAGTGATCTCAATTGGTTTGATCATCAGTTCCCTAACTCCACCCACTAAGTGGCTTGATGCAAACAATAATGTGAACGTTATACATTCAACAAGATATCAAAATATTTATTCGTTTATTATATTACAACATTATTTATAAAGTATAATATCATTTATTATCAGAGGTGCAAGTAAGATTTTAAAATTGACACTTTAAATTAATTAAAATTTGTATCAAATAATATTAATTTTTAATCGAATAATTATTCAGTTAATTTGCAACTTAAATAATGCCATTGATATGTACATAATTCATTGAGTGATTGAGAATGTTATTAATTGTAGTTCATTGCAATTGTTTTAAAAATATAAAATTTGAAAGAATGTTTGATTACCACAATAAGCCTTGTTTCCATTTGATAACCATGTTGCAACAATAACATGGCAGCTGTGATAAAAAAATGCCTGTTCATGCACAAGGGCGATTTTTGTGTTGATTTTCTTTCGATGGATACGAACAAGTGGATGAGCTTCGAATGTTAACATGAGGGTACAGATACTTAGAAAATTTATGACTCATCTGCTTGTTGACATCCATCAGAAAAAGAACATCGCACCTTGAAGCGACACAAAAACCTCCCGTGTGAACAGGCATTAATTGTTATATTACAATTTTAATCTATACCACATTGTCGCCATTGCCATTGGACTGCACCTTCATTATTAAAATATTGCATGTACTCCTCTCTAATAAGCCGTGCTTCATTTGAGTAGTTGTTACTACACTGGGGCGAAATTCCTGCCATGATGCCTCATCATTTCTCCAATGTCCAGGTAAAATATTCCCTTGCCCATCCTCTCTATCCAACACTTCAAGATTTGAGACTCTAAGATAGCATAATTGAATGAATAATATTAATTAAATCATAACCATTAAGCTGCATTGCACCTTCATGCACCCAACTCTATTTACTTTGTCTGACACCATATGATTTTACTTGTTAAGGGGAGTGTGCTGGCACCTGATGAGTTAATGCTTGAGACTCCCACTAACAAGTAATATCATCTGGCATTAGAGTAAAATAATTAAAGGTTAACCCACACTCCTATTTGTTATTTGGGGGTTACAGGGTCTTAGAAGACTGTGTCTGTGTTGCCATGGCTACAACTGGCAAAGTCTATTGTTAGCGAACATAACTGGGATCTTCTCAACATCTTAATCCTAGATAAGACCCTGGAGAGATAGTAACAGAAGCAATGAGACCATGAATATAATACCTGAGATAGTTGTGTAGTACTAGTGCTGCCAATATTAATATGTTGACTGTCTCAGGAGGAAGTTGAATGGCATTTCGGAAAACTCTCCACCTGTTTGCGAGCAATCCAAAACCATTTTCTGAAATACGTCGCATCCTTGACAATCGATAATTAAATATTCGCTGATCATCTGAAAGACCAGATTGGGGGAATGGTTTCAACAAGTAATTTGTTAATGCAAAGGCATCATCTACAGTAATCACGTATGGCACACGCTTGCTTCTTCCAGGTAAAGCTTTAGGTGGGGGAATATCAAGTGGGTTGTTGATAGAACTAAGAGCTGTTCGCAAATCAGCATTTAGCCAAATTGCTGAATCTGATGATCTACCATTTGTGCCCACGCTTGCCCAGATACACTTGTAATCTGGCCCAAAGACAGCAAGAAGCACGATGCTGTTGTTTCCCTTGTAATCATAAAAGTGTGAACCGGAATTTGCAGGCTGTTGAATTAATATACGCTTGCCGTCAATAGCACCGAGACCATTGGGAAAGTTCCACTTTGATCGAAAACCTTCAGCAATATGGTCCCATTCGTCTTGACTGCTCGGTGTTTTCAAATATGCTGGACCCAAGATCTTAAATAGTGCGGTACATGTTTCAATTATTATCATGGAAATACACTGCCTAGAAATTCTGAATGAATATTCCAAGGAATGAAAACTCTCACCAGTTGCCAAAAACCTCAACGTAACAGCCACACGCTCATCGGGCTTGATAGTTGATCTAACACAGTTGATTGGATATGGTTGCTCTTTCTTTGTGATAAGAGGTCGTACTTGTTCAACAAGGAACAAGAATTGTTCTCTGCTTACTCTGAAAAATTCACGATATGCTGTGTGATCTTCCACTTCTAATTCCCGTATAAGTTGATAGTAGACGCCTTTTTCTTCTCTTCTAGCAATCCATTCTCTCATATACTGCTGTCTCTTTCTTTTATTTGGCATAACTTCCTTGTCTTCATCAGCCAACAAAGCAAAACCCAAAAGCGAAAGAACTCGCTTTCTTTGGTGCTGTATAAAAGCAGCCGCCATTTTGTATTTGCAGAAACACATGCAAAAATTAACCAATCATAGCTGTCTATAAAGCACGGACATTTGCAAAGATCCTGGGTTGAGAATTATTTTCGGCAACTTGCAACACAGAATTTTGTTGCAGGTCAAATTGCATAAATGGGTGGTAATACGCGCAATATCTTGCTGCAACTTGCAACGCAACAATGTTGTGCGAAATATTGCAGTAATTTGTTGCTCGTATTACTCCACCTTTAAGCTCACTAATATTAACTAGAAATTGTTTTTAGATATGCGCATTAAAAGTGCGCAATGCAAAACTGATGAAGTTAAGGTTAAAAGTAAATAGAAGAAAGTGCGGTTAAGATACTCGACTAATTTCGTTAAAACGAAAGTTGTTATTTCCAAATGATATGATAAGGAATGGGGTGGAAAACTATCCCGAAAGCACACATGCGAAACAGCCTAATTCCAAATCATACCCGAGCAATGCAAACGCAAACATGTTCATTTATGAACACACAACTTGAAAAACATGACATGTTTGGTTAAAGTGTCTGTGACAAGCACCAATATAACAAAACGCTTTTGAATTGCTTTTTCAACATTATAACGTAAATCAGTTCACTTTATATGTAATTCACACGACAGTTTCTTGTTGTTTTTGTTGCTGTTTATGTTTTCCTTTAGACTTAGATTTCGTATCAGGAACAATGACTTCAACAACCTGATTCTCTTTCCGCCATTGATGCCAGCGATGCACGTGATATCGTACGCTGAGTACAAACCACAGGACATAGAGAAACACGAGGAAAGCACAGAGTGTGATCAGTCCGGTGGCAATCATCAGCTGACCAAGAGAAAAGTAGTACCAGGAACCTTCAAAACACAGCGCTGCGCTCGCTAGAACAAGCGGCGTTAGAATGATAAGACATAGGAAATCCCCGTAGATGTAACGACTTTGCGTTGTACCATGCACCCAACGGACCCACTAGAAATATAAAATATAACAAACGTTAATGCCTACCTATGTTTAAAGTCTCATCTGTAATTGCTTGTATATCTAAGACTATATCCGCCATCTTCAATTTTTGTAGATATGCATGTACGTCACAACACAACAGGGGTCACGCAATATTTTTATCTAGACAACCACTAATCATTTTCCACTCAAAACAATACTCTGTCTGCCCTTCGAAATATCAAGATCTTTAGAACATCTCAAAATCTTTAGAACATCTACCAATCAATATTGGGTCAGCAACGAATACTTTTATATGGTTAATCCCTGTTGTGACGTCATCAAAACTACCGCCAATGAGATAAAAACATTATCCAAGATGGCTGACATCTCATTACTTCAAGTGAAAATATTTCAAGAACTAAGCAAGATATGAAAAATCGGTAAAAGAAGTTAGGATATAGTTTCAAAAGTTCTTTCAAATGAGAAAATAAAAATTTATATTGCCTTTTCCCTATAATACGTACCTCAGAAAAAGGCCTTGGCTTGCGTTTGGTCGTAAAATGCTGGTGACACAATTCACAGATGTCAGTTTTAGATACACTCAGCCATTTTTCCAAACAGCTTACGTGGTACTTGGCTATACTACCAGTACATTGACATAACGTCTTGAGGTTCTCAGTTTTGTCCATGTCTTGACAGATACGGCAAATGACCGACGAATTACTGCTTGTGATCGAGACGGCTTTGCCGTGTGCGGTGTTTCCGGAGTCCGTAGCGCCGTTGTTCTCCGTCGAGCAGTCTGAACCAGAGTTAGGAGAGGTCGGTACGTGCGAATAATTCTAATAAGGAAAACATTCTGGAATTTAAAAAGTGCGTGGGATCAATGTATGCTGCAGAAAATTAAAATTTCAAGATAAATAAAATATAAATATTTAGGCATCAGCTATTATCATATAAAATATTGATATTTCTAGCACTAATAAAAGATATATTGTCACATACGGCTATTAATTATTTACGCTAATCGCTCATGTGAAGATTAACGGTGACTAAACTAGCACTGTAGTTTCATTTTTGCAAAGCGGGACAATTTGATTTTGTTTTCCATAAAAACACAGAACCCTCGTACACACGTAAAAACGCACAAGTTGTAACAAACCTGCAGCAGACTTGTAGCAATGCTGTTCCAACAACTTGTCAACAGGATGTGTTCGCACTGCTTGTTCCCAGCTTGTTGACAAGTTGTCAACGATTTGTTGGCAACTTGCTACAAGGTTGTTGAGCCCAACAGACTTGTTACAAGTTGTTCCAACAACTTGTTATCGTCCTGCAATTCAACAATTTGTCAACAAGTTGTGAGTGACAATCTTGTAGCAACTTGATAAAATAACGGCGTTGTTACAACTTGTTGTCAAGCTTGCTACAAGTCTGTTGCGAACACATCTTGTTGACAAGTTGTGAGATTTTTACGTATGTATACGGATGCTTGAAAATTAAAACTTAGTTCCGCATTGAAGAGGATATCTCTTTCGCTTTGCCCACTCGTGAGATGCCTTGACTTATAACAACACTTTCCCCGACATGTATTTTCGCTACATAAACTGCAAAAATAGACAATAATGAAGATAAACAGTTCAATTTTCCCAGTTCAAATATAAAATCGGGAAATTTTAATGCAATCATAGTCATAATTAAGCTATGTCTAGGTTTAGAAGCTAGAACAAGGAAGTAAATGAATTAAACAATGGTCGAATATTATTGAGAAGATATAACAGGAAAGCCTACTGTAAATTATTGTAAATTCTTGTCTACTTTACCTTGTGTTCTGGAAGTGCTTCGACTTGTATAACTGTTTTGGTGCTGTTGTCTTCAGGCTGTTTCGTGCCAGCCACAGTCATGGCTGGCTTAACGGAGACAGAGCCGCATGAAGCGATCGCTCGAAAGAATGACGTCATCACTAAATTGATGACGTCATAATTCCCGTCAATTTTACAGCCCGTGATATGCGCACGCTACCTCGCACGCTACTTGTTGTACAACCGCTGATTGATAGAACCCACAAATCGTAACAAGCTTGCAAGGCTGTTACTTTAAAAAAGCTGATATCAGTTTGTGTTCTGCTACAGCTACAAAGTCGTTTCGACAAGTTAACACCAATTTGTAGACTTCAATGATCTTGTTTCTTGCACTTCACTTGGTGGTATTAGGGTTAGTAATCCAAGTGCGTATATATATACACTTTAAGACTTGACCAGGAACGACTGCGAAAAATGCAGCACAAGGTTCTCTGGTAGGAATTGAACCTACGGCCCTGCACCGAAATCGCAGGGCCGTAGGTTCAATTCCTACCAGAGGACCTTGTGCTGCATTTTTCGCAGTCGTTCCTGGTCAGGTCTTAAAGTGTATATATATGCTCACCCGGATTACTAACCCTAAAAACAGCATTGTGATATTAACACCAATTTGTGTTGGTATTGCTTGTTTTCTAAATTGTTGACAAGTTGTCAAAGGCCTATAACATATTTTCTACAATATGATATCAGGCTTTGTTTGCATTGCTTGTTCCCAGCTTGTTGAAAGTTTGCTACTTGACGAGTCAAACATCCTTCTACAAAGTTGTTCCAACAAGCCGGTTAAATTTGCGTCTGACAAATAAAACTTTAGAAGGCTACTGCCCGTAGATTTTTTCCGAACTAACAAGAACACTAGCGGTTTTTAGCTTCAAAATCACAACTGCACTCAATATTTTATGTAATACAATCCGCACAGACACAGTACAATATCGGACATTCTTTGACAGGGCAAAATGCAAATTACAACAAAAAATAGCAAACTACGAATCGTGACGGATGCGCTTGCGCAAGGAATGTTGGGATGTACTCAATGGAGATTTACGTTCGGACCATTTTCTGGTCCGCAAGTCGGAAGACTGGGGACTAGAACCCAGTAAAACCGGCGACTCTTGCAAATGTTTTAGACTATCAGCCGATAGTGACATTGGTGTAAAATGCGGTTTTAGATTGCAAGGCGAAGAAACCAACTTCGTGTTTCTTTGTTGTTGAGCAGAAAGATTTAAGTTATTTTTGTCAGGCGACAGATTATCGTCTGAGACGTAAAAAGGAGAGCTATCCAGTTGTCTTCTATCGGTCTCCTCTGCGTCAGCTGTTTCTGATTTAATTTTTTGTTTTCTGCGAATTGAAATTTGTTTCAATTGAGTTTCTCCTTTACAGGAATTCGAGTTTTCTGTCCTCTCCAGTTTATACGTTTCACCCCGTGGTGTACCTAAAGAGATTGAATTGGATATAAAGCGTTCTTTGCGGCCAAGGATAAACAATCGCAGATACAAAAAGGTCTAATGTTTGTAAAAGCATCTGAAGGTTTGAAGCGGCTCAACCAATCAATGTGAGGCTAGTTTGTCCTGGGCCTCTAGCACAAGAGAGGCTCCCAAAGCAACGATGGGCCTTAAAGAGATTGCTTAACTAAGAATATAAACCATGGCTGCGTTAGTGTCGGATAATGTGCAATAAAGTGTACTATAATACGCTTTGTTTGTGGAAACACCACGAAAATTTATTACTGCCAAGCTTTCGATCCGTAAGCCCGGATCTTCATCAGTGCTAATAATATGTAGTAATGATGAAGATATATTATTAGCACTGATGAATATCCGGGCTTACTGTACGGATCGAAAGCTTTGCGGTAATAAATTTCCACAAACAAAAATTATTATATGTTTTATCGCCATGCAAACCTACAAAGAACTTAAAGTGTACTACTATATTGTAAAACACCGCCACTCCCATTTTACAATTATAACGTCATAGGGGCCCCTGACAAAGTTTTACTCCGCAGCCTGTTGGCAGATCAGATTAAAACCTGTCAAACGCTCGGAACAAGCATAAAAGTTTACCGGAGCACCCCCCAAACAAAGAGTATTCGCAACCCCCTTGATTGAGACAATACTTCTTACCTGGTGGGGTATTTCTGTTATTTTTTCGTTGTTTCAAAATCTGATTCAAAGGGCTTACATTCCCCGTCCGTGTTGACCCGATTCTCTTGCGTTTTGTCGTAACGGGACTTTTAAACACCTCGGTCTGTTCTGGAGCCACGGCGGAGTCCAGTACTTCATTATCGAACTCAACACCAGGCCTCTGTACTTCAACATTGCTCGTGGTCGGGAAATCGCCCTCTTGGTTTGTTACGTCATATGTTGTTGAGTCAGAATCAACCCCCCTGCTTCTCGGGGAACTTCCAAAATTCAAAGATGTTTTCGACCGCAAAAATTTCGCACTCGATATTGAAGACCGTTTTCGATTCAGTAATGGCGAAACTGCGACGACACTTTCCGAGTCATTCACGACATTTTCCGATTTTAGTCCGACACTTTCCGACTCGGTTCCAACAACTCCTACGACAACTTCCGAGGATGCACTGACACATTCCGATGGTGACGCCATCACTTTTATATCGGATTTTCTCAAAGGACTAGTTTTGAGCCTAGAATTTTTTGTCGAGTCAGTTTTTGTTGGTCTTACCAACGGACTTTTAACCGGTACAAGTGGAATAGCAATATCGAATATTTGATCGGGGCTAAAATTGATCGGGGATGACTTCGGTGTTGTTTTTGGTGACTTAAACAAGACAGGCGAAGTTGTCGGAAATGATTTATGGGTGATAAGTGGGGATTTTGAGGGTTTTAGTGGAGGAGTAGTTGACAATGAGGGTGATGAATTGGATCTCCGAGACACTGATCTTCTAGAGTGAACTGCAGTGAGAGGGGATGTAGATTTTTTAGGGGTGACAGAGGATGGAAACTCGGTTGCTTTATTGTGTTTTCTTGAGGGTTTGGTAGAGGTACTTAGGGGTAAATTGGGATCATCACAGGTGTCTCTAGGGCTATGTTGAACAGATGGGACATCTCCTTGTCTATCCGAAGTAAAAGCTGAAAGAATAGTCCTTTCATTCCCATCACCAGTTTCCAGAAAGACCTCTGCAAAACAGTCGTCTTTATCAAGTTTAGGAGAGGATGATCCATCGGTACTTAATAATTTTGTGTATTTCTTCCTGGGACTAGAAACACTGTCGAAACCAGTGTCTATGTTCATACTTTTGGCTCGATGTAGTGTTCTACCGCTTTTGTTATCAGGCACTGAGTCGGTCTTGTCCTCAGCAGTACATTCGGCTGTTGAAAAGTTTTTGTTGGTTGTTTTCGCGGTGGATGGCGCTCGTTGAGAGGCAGAATAAAACGTGGCTGCTTTTCGACGTGGACTCTTTCGAGGAAGAATGGCTTTGAGAAAACATTCAGTGAAATTTCAGTGAAAATAATAATAACTCAACTAATTTTATCTACATTGGATAGCTCTTTAATTGCGGTACCCAGACAAAGTGTTTGGTATCGCTTTGCATTCGCTGCGCAGCGTGAGTTTGTTAGTTTGTTAATTTGTTCGGAATCGTAAAGCCCTAGGCAAACTAGGAAACATTGTTGCGGAAACATTGTTTCCTGCCAATGTTTCGCCATCTTTCCCAGAGTGGGCAAACACTAGGAAACATTGGTGAGAAACATAGGGAAACATCAAATGTTTCTGAATTTGATACGAAACATTTTTGCTTCTTGGGAAGCAAATTTTGTTTCCGCAACAATGTTTCCACGGATGGGCAAACAGGGAAACATCGAGAATCACAAATTGTATTTTGTATTTTGTATTTTTCTTGTTTATGTTCGTGTTAACGGCCGAAGTTACTGATGGCTGTGGTAACAACATCCCAATACGGTAAAATAAAACTTAAAACTTACCATCGTCTTTCTCAGGTGATTCTCCAACAACTGTGACATCTGTTACAGTCTTTGAACGACGTCTAGAATATTATTGAATATTTCATCTCAAATTCAAAGTATCCAATCAGAAAGCCAAGTTTGCGCCACGTGAGCATGAAATTTATCATCGAATCGCGCCTTACGTAAGCGGGTGACTTGAATCATATCCATAGATATCTTATATACACTGGATAGTGCATCTAATTATTCTGCAATTCAAAAATTGAAGCCGTGATTGCAGACTCAGGATATTCCCATGAAATGAGAAGATTCGTATGTTTTCTATTTTTTAAATACGGAACTTAAACATTAAGTTAAACTTATTGCAAATACATTTTGAAACTATTCAAATGATCAAAGTTATTGTTGTTTTTTAAGCGTTTATTAGTGAGTGGGAAATACCAACATGGCCGCCATCTATTCAAATGGGGGTAACCGCTGGAATATTCTTGGCTTCAATTTTACTAAAAGAGATGCGCTATCTAGTTGTATTTAAGATATCTATGATCATATCACATGGCGACTTGATCATGTCATGTACGTTAATCATTCACTCCCATCTGTAAGGATGCTAACAACCTTACCTTGCCCATTCCTGTCGACGTAACATACGCTGAGAGACCTGTTTCCCCATTGGAGTGTCAGCAACTTTATTTGACTTGCTGAAGGCTAAAACAAAGATAAATTAACTTTATTTATACTGGATAGCTCTATTAGTTCAAGGCTTTCAGGAGTATTCTGAGGAGAGGGAGTCTAAAAAGACTCATTAATAATTCATGAGGGAAAGACAAAGGCAATCACTGCCGTGTCTGTGATTTGATTTTCTCGGCTTAGACAAACTTGATTTTTAAAATTACTTCGCCAATAAACTCATTAAGATGAGTCATTTAAAGCACTCGCACACTCAAGCCATTTAAAACACTCGCAGTCGGCTATCGTCTCGTGTTTTATATCTGATAAAGCGCTCCTGCTAGTGTTTTAACTAGTACTTAAAAAACTCATTAATAATTCACGAGGAAAATACAAAAGAAATGAATGTTTAATCAATGTTTGTAAATCGGATAAAGATTTGTCCTGATTTACATAAACTTCAGCTCTGATTTTCTCGGCTTAGATAATGTTTATTTTTAAAATTACTTCGCCAATGAACTCATAAGATGGGTCGTTTTTTAAGCACGTTTTCGGCGAGAGTTTGTATATCAGATAAAGATCGGCTATAGGTTTTAACTAGTTGTTAAAATCGTCCAAATTAACTAGTGTATATTCCTTAAATAGCAACACAACTGAGCTCCATAGCCAAATTATAATGTATCACTGCTTTTATTCTTCAACAAGATAACTTCAAGATTTAAGATGGGAAATAACTAAATCAGTTTTACGAAATAGTACGTCGTTTTCGAAAATAACCAGGCCATAAAGTAGACCAGATTGACGATTAGAACAAATATTGTTTAGTAATTGATATTTCAAGGACTAAACAAAGTAATTGGTGGTAAATATTGTGCTACACACAGGGCATGTGGTATAAACGTGGAGGTTATAAACACAAAACTGCTAAGTTACCTGCGATCGAGTGACGTCGGGTGAGATTGCCTCGTTCTGATTTGGAAGAAGCAATCTTCGAGTGTTTCTTAGGCGACGATTTACTCCCATTTCCTTCGAACAGATTTCGTCGAACTTTTTTGACTGGAGTGACTGGCTTCTTCTTCATCGTATGTTTCTTTCCGCTCTTCTTCCCAGCGCTGCCAATTTTTTTCCGAGTCTTGTTAGATTTCCCTTTCACAGGAATGACAATCTCGCGTCTCTTGGCAGGAACACCCATTACGCTGTGCCTTCGCACTAACGTACGAGAGCTTTGAGAACTTTCAGAACTGTAAACATATCAATTTTTTAAACTTAAAAAAAATACCGTGGAACTAAAAGGGTCTGCCATCTCAATCTAGAGGTTCAGTAAGGATCATCTCTTATTGATCCAGTGTTACTACAGGAGGAAACCTAAACTAAACTAACTTTATTTATACTGGATAGCTCTATCAGTTCTAAACTGTTCTTCCTAGAGGTCCAGTAAGAATCACCTCTTATTGATCCAATGTTACTACAGGAGAAAACCTAAACTAAACTAACTTTATTTATACTGGATAGCTCTATCAGTTCTAAACTGTTCTTCCTAGAGGTCCAGTAAGGATCATCTCTTATTGATCCAGTGTTACTGCAGAAGGAAACCTAAACTAAACTAACTTTATTTATAAATACCCCATCACCCTTTATTAATAACTTACTGTGCTTCCTCGACACTTTTAGCTTTTTTACTGGAAGAAAGAGTTTTGCGGGATTTCAATGGTGTGTCTTCTTCACTCGTAACTTGTGAAGGAGAAAGAATTTCCTTGGGAGGTCTTTGCATTAAACCATCATACACCTGACACAAGAGACTGGAAAGATTGTCTGCGTATCTTGGTATGACGCTGTTCTTCAGGAACGAGCTGAGATACGCAGGATCCTTTTGAAATGATATCGCACGAAGCACCGAAGTGATCTGGAATTAAAATATAAGATAAATATGGAAAATTGGAACTTTTAGAAAAACCGCCGAGACAGAGTAAAATAATAAAGTATTGCAATGCAAATTAAAGGGTTAACTATTTAAGTTGCAATAAGCTTCATGCATGGATCGTGGAAAGGAAGCTGTTGCACTTAATGGGTTACAATGCGCCTTTGTGTTCTCCTTTTGTCAGTTCACTCTGCCTAAAAACCGATGGTTTTCCTTGTAAAATATATTTTTGACCGAAACTGACCTCGTCAGCTATCTTTTCTTCATCAACGACGCCAATTTTGTCCGCAAACTCCAGACGAAGATACACCTGTAATTTATATCTGCAAGAAAAAAAAGTTGTTGTTTCTTGATATTGCTGCTAAGGGAAGGTTGGGATCCTGAGTATCAGGTTGGTTCCGTACTATAGTTACACATTTACATGTACTCTGCACTAGCAACAAGGATTTATAGCTCAATATATACTACGTAAGTTATGTAGAACAATTATTATCAGTGAACACCAAAAGATGCCCTTACTCTAAAACAACTCTTTCTTTGTCCGATTCATTTTTTTCAGCATCAGAAATTTCCCGAGATTTTTTGTCATCACGCAGTACTGTGGACTTCAACAAACTATCGATTTCATCCTACATAAAAATATAGATTATACATATATCAGGCAGTGAACTCGATGCTTCTAGATCAATGTTTCATGTTTGATTGTTATAAATGTATGGATATTTCAGAATCAGGGTTAAAGGCAAATGTTTGTTCATTGTCTGAAGGATTTCAAGGCAAATAGAAAGGGGCAACGGTTCAGCTCTGATGTAGAAAGTGCATGTACGTATTTGTCTGAAATTCTTGGCGTGCGCCAAGCTAATTTCGGCGTACAATGGACCTATTCCCTAATGAACAAAACTTTGATCTAGACAACTCTAGACAAAGAGTTCATCACAGCTTGAAAGAGCATCACAAAATTAGTAATATTCCGAAGTTTCGTTGCGAAATGTTGTAAAATGCAGATAATATAGCCCTGCGAAGTTTGCCGTTTTTCAGTCATTTTGTAAAACGGCAAACTTCGCATATATTATCTGCATTTTACAACATTTCGCAACGAAACTTCGGAATATTACTAATTTTGTGAAGCTCTTTCAAGCTGTGATGAAATCGTTATCTAGACTTGTCTAGATCAAAATTTTGTTCATTAGGGAATAGGTCCATTGTTCGTCCCCGCGTACGCCTATTTTTTAAGTCCTGAACACTCTAACCAACTGAGCTAGACCCTGGCTTGCTAGGTTGAGCCTCGAGATGGTTTTTGAGTACTCAAACATCTAGTTACACAGTAAACTTACGACATCTTTCAGTTGACCAGAATGTTTAAAGTGCAAGATCATCTGAAAAGCACGGCTTACATAAACAGTCACAGACTGCTCCTAGAATAAAATACAAAAAAATGAAATCAAAATTATTGTCCATTTGTATAACAGTATACATCCACAATTTGATGTCGTTTTCAAATTTGCTAGCATGGAATTCTACAAAAATTCTCACGTACTTGGTTAAGACATCTTTGATACTCGTTTTCTAGCTTTGTCTTCAGATCGTCAACACTTTGAATAACTGTAGAAGTAAAGGAATCGACATTTGGTATATGCAGTAAGGAAACATTGAAAATTTTCCTGCAAATACTCAAGTATAAAATCGACACTTGGACAATGTAACTGTGTAACACTAACAAGTTGTCAAACTGAATGTCATGCTGTATTCTAACAGAAAAAATTTCGGTGCAGTGAGAAATCTTAATAATACTTTTAGGAATGTAACATGAAACTAATTTAGATAACTAGGGTCTGATCTTATAAGGTAAATACAGATGCCAGAAAAAGAACTACTAGGGGGCACATACTATCAGGGATCCATGCTTTCCCAGAAAAATTTGTAAAATCAGGTGTCCCATATTGGCTAAAAATGCATTTGCCACACAACATTTGTTACATCATTCTATAGTCCACACATTTATACACTATTAAGATGGATGCACTTATAATTGCGTTTCTGAAGTCATGCTTACAGTACTGGTACAGGTAACATTCTTTCTATTGGTTCAAATATTTACTTCGAATTTCTCCTTTTTCTACATTGTTACAATTATTGTTTGTTTTTTTCTTAGGGAAATATTTCCTGGGACAAATAAATGGTCCAATACTTTCCTCCTGTTGCTGGAGGGTTTGAAATTAAACGAGATTTAGAGACATGAGCAGCTTTTACCTGACATATCAGGTAGGTCTTCGTCCATTGCATCAGTTTGTTCTGAGTCCAAATTTGACAGCGTTGCAGTTGAATCTTCAGTTTCCATTGCGCTGTCCACTATCTTATTCTGAGCTTCACTTTCGTTCAGTTTTGAAGTTATATTTTTTTGTGAAGTTTCTTGCAACAATTTCCCCCTCGTCAACGCCGGGGCTTGAGCTGCAGTCTTCTCGCTGTTTGATTTAGATTCCTTCTTGGAATAATAATCTTTGAGCTTTAGACGCAGTTCCTTTCCCGACTCGGGTTCTTTCAACTTCTTCTTTTGAAAACTGCTGTTTTTAAAAAATGCATAACTCATATAAACATTCATTTACATGATTTATAATAGAAAATAGAGATGTTCAAATCTGATCCGAAGCCAATCCACAGGGCAGGAAGAATTTTTTCCTGGGAGCACAACCTGGACACAAAAACTTTCTGCAGACCAACGGAGTATTTTTGTGCTAAATCTGCATGTGCATAAACATATAGTGTTCTAGCTGACCATGGTTTTAAATTCAAGGAATAATATCTGTCAACCATATGTTGTTGCCCCCTTGGTGGGACATGGGTGTTAAGGTTTCATTCAAATTTTCAATAGCAAATCTTCATTCAAACGAATTTCCTGCAGCTGTTTAACATTTCCTGCGAGCAGTGCTCACCTATTTTTTCCACCCCTCTAATAGAAAAAGATCATCATTCTAACAAACTGTCTCAAACATATTTTCCCTAAATAAAGTATTCTTACCAGATGTATGAATGAGTGATGCCCTTTTCACTATCGTTCCCATCTTTTGGCCTTGACAATGTACTACTTATTCCTTCACCATTTCCAAGTTCCTCTTTATTCTCTCGGAGATCAAATGGTAACATCTCGGAGTCACCTTCATCTGATGTGACGTCACATGGGACTAGTATGTAGCCATGTGATCTATGACGTAGCAGAGCCTTCTCAACCAGTAGCAGCTTGTCTTTCTTGACCATGCTCAGTATGGCACAAAGCAAGGTGATTGGCTGAAGCAGGCCTGTAACATGTGTGCCTGTGTCAGGATCTTGGTACTCGACAACCTGTGAAGAGAAATTAAGCAAAGATGAAAGACGATTGCTTGCTTATAATATTACTACTAAGAAGCCATATTGAAAATGCAAACAATCATGTATTTACATGTGGCCCGGCAGCAAGCGCAAAAAAGACAGGGGCAAGTTTTGTCGTGACAGGAAGTTTTCATGAAAAATTTTTATGACAAAATTTTTTCTTCGAAAAATTTATACTATAGTGTGCACTGTATATAGCTACTGTAGCTATTACTTACTTTTTAAAACAGATATATTCACAGTATTTAATGTATCTTCTGCTTTTCATCAATATAATTATTATTTTTAATAGCAGTATCACTGTACCATACAGACATACTACTGCCAGACATTTGCCCTTTCCATGTTGGACAGTGTCCGTGTCCAGCTACTTATTTTCAGGCTTGCAATTGTATGTGTGTGAGCATTTCAAAATCATACCCAGAAACTCAAACACATGAGCACACCCAAGACTTACCATGCTGAGAGATTTACTACCAATTAGAGACAACATCTGCTGAAACAGTCCAGCATCTTCTGTATTATCAACCTCTCGACTATTCAAAGTTTCCCCACTAAAACAGGAGTATAACTTTGTCGGATGCATCCACGATGGAGAGACGTCAGCACTGGCAATAACACCTTTGATTACAAAACAATTTTCTAAACTCTCTCGTTCTGCCTTTAGTTCTATGTTGCTGTTTGTTGATGTTAAACTGTTTACTTCATCGTTAGTTTTTGGATCTGAATCTGGAAGTGTTTGTTGAGAAGCAGCCAATGATGAGTTATCATCAGAGCTTGGTTTTTCCACGTTTACATTATCATGGTGGTGATTATCTATGTCATCAGATCCAGGTGTTTCAATGTTAGAACTGCACTCGCCAGGAGTGGAGGTCGACTTCTTCTGGAGTATGTGTGATAGCACAACAGAGCAAACCCTTTTTTCTGAAGGAAATAAAGTTGTGCAAATTTGTACATCTGCATGATACTGGAGTTACCATTTCATTCTTCTGATTGTGTTTATTCACAAAAGAAGGAAAATGGACTATATATAACTTTATTTATGCTGGATAGCTCTACAAGTTCTTCTACCTCATGGGCGTTCGTTGCGGGTGATGTCGATAAACTTGGCATCTGTTCATAATCACTTAATAACACCCTGACATTCACCGATACCTCTAACCCCCATAACAAACGCCCAGCTGAGTTTGTTTCAAGGGTGCAGTGTTGCCAGTGTTTGGTAGATCAAGTCAAATTGGAAGTAATATTCTTACAAGCAACTGTGGAGTTATAACTAGATAACTGTATATTTAAGGACCTCGCAGATACCACAAATACCCCATAGTGCAATGCAGGATGGCTCCAGAAAATATATTGGGTCGTTCCAGAAAAGATCCATACTCCCCTCACGGAGGAAATTTCTGCCGTCTGGAGGGGGAGGGGATAGAGAAATGTTTCTGATCATACTGTGGGGGTGGTATGGATGTTTTCTGGAATGACCCATTATGATCTTACCTTGAAAATGCAAGATTCCTTTCAATAATCCATTACTATTTGGGATTAGTTTTACATCATTAATTACAGCTTCACTGATCAAGTCTTTTCCACTGAGAAACGCCTCAACGATTTTCCCAAATGAAAATTTGAAAGCAGCCGTCATCACTCGGACCTCTGCCAACGTGTTGGCCTTTAGTTTAAACCCCTTTGGACTCAATGTACTGTTTCCCAAGTGAGGCAGATGAATGTTTCTAGTGTCTTGTACGAGAGATGAAATTGGGACTATATTTCCACAAAGTTGTTTAGTGACGCATGATATCAAGCTGTATCCTTTCCAATCCTTAAAATTCAGTATCAAAAACAAAACAAATTAGTAAATGAACAACGAAACACATAATCAATTTTGTGAGTAGCGAGCAAGCTTCAGAATAAGTGCCGTCACATTAATTGACCAGTAACTTTTTCAGTTGGATATTTTCTTCGCAATAATATATGTACCTAGTCGACCACCATCTACTGCCCTGTAACCATAGCAACAGAAAATGTAACAAATAACACGAACCTCAACGGACGTCTTCAATTTCTCGGGTGCAACGCACCACAGACCCGAATCAATCCAGAACAACAACAAACCACATTTGCTGTGAAACTCTTCATACAATGCCGTAGAAAATATTTCTTTGAACACAACCTCGGCATCAAACGAGCTTTCATTTCTGCCCAAAAACCGACACATATCCCCATCCGATAGAGGGCAATCACTGACCACAAATAAATAATTCCTAGGCCTGTTGCCTTGACTGTTAAATTGATCATACTTAGCACTTCTCGAAGGTGAGCTGATGTCTGGAGTCACCCATGGAAAATCATGTAAAATTTCAGTCAGACAACATGATAAACTTTTTACACCGGCAGTTTTTGCCGAATTCTGACCACTACAGGCATTTGTAAAACGCTGCCTCATTTCCTCCTCGAACTGTTCAAAAGACCCACTGTTCAGTTCGTAGAACCGTCGTCGTTTGTATTCAAAATTGAGGACATTCGAATTATAAAATTTGAAACCCCATTTCAAAGGAGCGAAGTTCCCGCACTCAACAAGGGAATTAAAATGCAGTAACAACCGCAAAACACATAGCGAAATTGCTCGAGACTTTAAGTTGAAAATGTCTTCTAAATCTTGTTCACAAATATTTTGTTCCTCAACAAACACATCGATCAAAAATACGATTTGAAAATTCCCTCCTTGTTCAAATTTTTCCGCCATCTTGGTTGCATAATTTTTAGCAACCCCCCGGAAAAGTTTCCAAGTTCTGTCTGTTTGTCTGTTCTACCAGTACAGTCTGTCTGTTCATTCATTTCGTTCATTCATATTGTTCATTCACTCCAGGAGGCTGCTCCATTTACTGTGCTAGAACATTTGTTCTGAACGATATGAAGTCACAGAGTAGATAAGACATACAGAGACGTAACTGACCGTTGTAAATACTGCTGAAGATTACGTTATCATCACAGAGTAGAGACATACAGAGACGTAACTAGTGTACCCACTTTTTCTGTGCGCATGCTCGGCAAGTTACTAGATGCATGCATCTGATTGGATGACGACCTGATGACGACTCACTTTAAACTTGCTGAGCACGCGCAGTTGGTCATTTTTCGCCCGGTCGCCTGAAAAAAAGTGGGTACATGATAACGTAATCTTCCACAGTGTTTACAACGGTCAGTTACGTCTCTGTATGTCTTATCTACTCTGTGTTATCATGTACCCACTTTTTTTCAGGCGACCGGGCGAAAAATGATCAACTGCGCGTGCTCAGCAAGTTTAAAGTGAGTCGTCATCAGGTCGTCATCCAATCAGATGCATGCATCTAGTAACTTGCCGAGCATGCGCACAAAAAAAGTGGGTACACTAGTTACGTCTCTGTATCTAGTTACGAGTCTCTACTCTGTGATGAAGTGGAGTGCACACGGTGTTCTGGAACAGTGTTTAGTTTATTATATATGCGTGCATGCAACCGTGCATTACACACGTAAAAACGCACAAGTTGCAACAAACCTGCAGCAGACTTGTAGCAATGCTGTTCCAACAACTTGTCAACAGGATGTGTTCGCACTGCCTGTTCTCAGCTTGTTGGCAAGTTGTCAACGGCTTTTTGACAACTTGCTACAAGGTTGTTGAGCTCAACAGACTTGTTACAAGTTGTTCCAACAACTTGTTATCGCCCCGCAATTCGACAATTTGTCAACAAGTTGTGAGTGACAACCTTGTAGCAACTTGATAAAATAACAACATTGTTACAACTTGTTGACAAGCTTGCTACAAGCCTGTTGTGAACACATCTTGTTGACAAGTTGTGAGATTTTTACGTGTGTACTATATTCATTAGTTATTCGCATAATAAATCGCATAATGATTTGCTGTTATTTGTAATCTAAGTATGCTTTTGCAACGTTTTTACTCGTTGATTTTGCCCAACCCTGGCGTTCAAATACCATATAATAAATATATATCGATATACTGCGGTTAACCCTTCAAAATAACACTCTATGCAGTGCGCATTGGATACACAAAATGTCGCCTGCGTTTCCAATCACGTGGAAATGGGCAGTGTCATGTGTTCTGTTCTAGCTGCCCGTTACTTTGAAGTTGGGGCAGCCAGAACAGTTCCGAACAGTCATGTGATCATATTCTGTTCCATTTCATTAGTGTTCGCAAAAAGCACGTCATTTTGGCAGAAGAATCTCGTTTTTGTGTATGTGACATTGGAGCCCATTAAGGGCATTTTTTAACTATATAACTGCTGGGGCATTTACCCCAGTAGGCTCTTTGCTTGCCCCAGTAGTGAAGCATGATTTTCAGATGAACTGGGCCCTTTTAATCATTAGTAAAAGGTTAACCTTGTTGAAAATGCTGCATCTGCCTGCTTTTTCATATTCTCGACATTAATTCCCTCATATAAAAGTCGGCACAGGCAGCGGTGGTGCTAAAAGCGTCAAAAGTGGGTTGTGGGTGTGGAACACCCCCAATGGACCTTTCACCTTTTGACTAAAATTTAGATCTCAACAAGTCTAGACAAAAATTTTATCACAGCTTGAAAGAGCATCACAAAATTAGTAATATTCCGAAGTTTCGTTGCGAAATGTTGTAAAATACGGATAATATAGCCTTGCAAAGTTTGCCATTTTCAGTCATTTTGTATTACGCGCGGGAAATACATACCTCCTTCGGAAAAAGGGTATGTATTTCCCGTTTGTAATACAAAATGACTGAAAATTGCAAACTTCGCAAGGCTATATTATCCGTATTTTACAACATTTCGCAACGAAACTTCGGAATATTACTAATTTTGTGATGCTCTTTCAAGCTATGATAAAATTTTTGTCTAGACTTGTTGAAATCTAAATTTTAGTCAAAAGGTGAAAGGTCCATTCAAAACAAGACGCAGTTTGAGACTGTAAATTTTCGACTTTATTTCAAAGTCATCTTCAGACAGAATGAAATACAATACTTTACAACACATATATTTCTACAACGCAGAGAGAGAGCATCTGTCATGTGGGCAGAAAGAAGGATTATCCAAGCGAAGCGAGCGTCAAGTTCTAAGACCTATGACAGCACATTTTGGCAGAGCACATGGCTTGCCAAAGACTCACAAGAAATTTGACACTTTACCCAAATTCCGACCAATAGTTGACACTACTAACACTCCACACTACAACGTTGGAAAATTTTTATCTTCTTTACTAAATCCTCTTACTTTAAACGATCATTCTCTTTCTGATTCTTTTGATGCGGTGACCAATATTAACAATATTCCCAAACATTTGTTTCAAGAAGGCTACCAGTTCGTTTCTTTCGATGTTGAATCCCTCTTTACCAATGTTCCACTTTCCCGCACAGTCAAAATTATTCTAGATCGTATTTATAAAGACGAATTAATGACAACCACTTTGGAAAAACGCACTTTGAAAAAACTCATTTTGGATTGTTGCAACAAAACTGCCTTTTCTTTTGACGAGCAAATTTATGTCCAAAAAGACGGCGTTTCTATGGGTTGTTCATTAGGACCTGTCTTAGCTAATATAATTTTAACTGAATTTGAAAGATTAATAGTTTCCGAGTTGATTGTCGATGGTACTATAAAATTCTATAAACGTTACGTTGATGACACTCTTGTTTTGATAAAACCTTCCAATATTTCCGCCGTTTTAGCTAAGTTCAATAGTTTCGATCCGAACTTAAATTTCACAGTTGATACTTTTCCCGATGGTGTTGCTCATTTTTTAGACATAAAAGTCTCGGTTGATGGTACTGACATTTATCGTAAAAACACCCACACCGGTCAGTATTCACATTTTTCAAGTTTTGAGCCTTTTCATCGCAAAACTGCATGGGTAAAATCTCTGTTCTACCGGGCTTTTAAAATTTGCAGTTCAAAAACACTTTTCAACAATCAAATTGAAACCATAAAATCTTTTATGTCTTGGAATGGTTATCCTAATGGCGTTAGAAACTTTTTGATTAAAAAGCTTAAAACCAAATATATTGATAATTCTACTTCCGATACCGTTAATCATGACACTGTTGATGATATGTTGCCTAAAATTTGGATTCGTATTCCTTATCTCGGGAACCGTGGCGATTTTCTTTTAAAATCATGTCTCAATAAAATACAAAGATTTCTTTCTAAACCGGTTAAGTTAATCACTATTTATGACACTAAAAAACTCTCTTATTTTGTTTCCAACAAAGATAAACTTCCTCCTTTATCTCGTAGTAATCTTGTATACGAGGTCGCTTGCCCTGGTTGTGGCAAAACCTATATTGGCATGACACAAAGATGCCTTTCTGTACGTTTGAAAGAGCATGCAACAAGGCTCTCTTCTAGTGCAGTGGGCCAACATTTTTCTGAGTGTGAACATGCATGCTCAATTCTTAACTACTTTACAAGACCAGTTCACATTACTCAACGATCTTCCTTTGCCTTCTGACAACTCTTCTCCTATTGAAAACCTTGTTTTCAACAGCTACAGAATACTTCACATTACAAAATCTAACAACTACAACATTCTTGCTTTTCTTGAAGCACTGCTTATCAAACATAACAAACCTTTTCTTAACACTGGACTTAAAGCTAGTAAAGAACTACAACTGTTCACATAACACTTTAACTTAATATCTTCTACTTGTCGGGTCTTCCCTTTCTATCTTATTCCTTTTAATATATTAAACATTGTTGTAACTATAGCGAAATAATCCATTCTCAGTTAATTACTATTTTCTCTATCATGTTTCGCTTCGCTTGGATAATCCTTCTTTCCGCCCACATGACAGATGCTCTCTCTCTGCGTTGTATATATATATGTGTTGTAAAGTATTGTACTTCATTCTGTCTGAAGATGACTTTGAAATAAAGTCGAAAATTTACAGTCTCAAACTGCGTCTTGTTTTGAATTATATATTGAATTCTCAAGATGTCCTGTATTTTCGGAATTTGCTTTTTACTTTATTTTTTTAAATTGTCGGCTGGTCATGGTGTATGTACATATTGGAACATGAAACGGTATTTTGCACACTTTGTAAATCTGGAAAACGCGGTCGTAATTCTAATAAATTAATGACATTACATGCTTGCTTTTGCCTATATTTTGTCTGCGGGATCATGAAAGCTCGCAGTTAAATCCCACATATGCGTAAACAATGTTACTGTCGATGCAATAGAAGTGTTGATAAAATATTGCACCAATTCCTTTCTTCAAGTTGATCAATTCATGTGATAGAAAATTGATCAACTTCCTGTTCACTGGCATGCTTGTTCCCAATTGGTCAATCAGTCACTGAAACGTAAAGCCTTGGTTGATTCAAACACACAGGAAGTTGATCAATTTTTCAACGAATGAATTGATCAAGTTCTAAGTAATGAATTGATGCGATATTTTATCAACACTTCCGTTGCAACGACAGCAATGGTTAAAATTCTTAAAACTATATACTCCAGGGGCCAGTTGTATAAAACTCTTAGTCACTTTTTTAATCACTATTTTGTAGTTAAATAGTGATTAACTCTCAAATACGCGCTTCTTATTGGATGACGTTTGCACTTAATCATAGTTAACTTTAATCACTTTTTTATACAACCGGCTCCAGGCGTTTTGTCCACGGGTTGCGGTTGGGCAAATCTATATTTATGTATTAAAATAATTTTTAAATCTACGCCCACGGTCGTTTATGAGAGTGTTATATGGCCAGATTGTTGATAACCATGGTTAATTCCAGTGTGACTTTTTTGTTTTTTTATATCTTGTTTTCCACAGGCGTTATGATGGTGTAATTATGGAACTACATCGTGGTACCCAGTGCTCCTCTTGTGGCTTGCGTTTCAAAGAAGCAAATAATGAAAACTACAGACAACATTTAGATTGGCATTTCCGGATGAATAGAAAAGAAAAAGAGACTGTAGCAGCTCATCGAAGTTGGTTCATCACTACGGACGTAAGCATATAAGGCTCATTAATTCATCCTTTATAGAAATTGGGGTATTTTACAGTACCACAATATGACTTATACAGTATATAAATAGAATTTCTTCTTTTCAGGATATAACGCTCAATATCACGTAACTTCAAGACTGGAAAACACTGTCTACCAGATAGTGATTTTTTTCAACCTTTGACTTTGTAAAATCCTTGAAAAATTGTGAAGTTATACGCATATACCGACCGCATAAGAAATATAAAAGAATTCAGTTTACAAAGCTGAAGTTTAATGTAGTTATACCAATTAACAGCCAATCCTAGAAAGGTTGAACAAAATACTATCCGGTGTATACCACTATACGGCGTTCGCACAACCAATCCCTGAGCATTAACGTATCAGATATGTCTAAATTCTACTGGCTTACTTTTCGGCACCAAATTATTTTTTGTGTGCGTGATTTGATACATGTTTTAAAATTAATGATTTTAGGACTGGTTGGAGTTTGAATCATCCGAGGATCCTAAATTAAAAGGTACAGACTGAAGCGTTTTACTATAATTGTTTTCACTATATATAGATATAAAAAACTGTTACGTATCGATTCTGACATTGAATAGAACAATGAAACATTTTTCTCTCGAGCGTGATTCGAACTCACATCTTCAGGTTCCTAGACCGCCGCCCTACCCGTTCAGCTATCGAGCCGGCGAGGATTCACAGCGAATTTTATCCAAATTTAAGTGCATGAAATATTGTCGTGATATACTTGTCGTGGAGAACGTATAATTTTGAAATTCAAATCTCCACCCCTCTTGGAAATCAGTTCTTGCTGCGGAGGTTAGCGTAGTAAAATAAAGTTTGACCATGATACCCTTCCACCATATCGTAGTGCTTAATTTCTTGATAATCCTCAAAGTTATGAAAATCTATGGAAGAACTTTCATATTTTTTTCCGGCACTGGAGAGAACAACGAAAAATTCTTCATCTCAAGCGGGATTCAGGATTACCTCCAAAGAATACGAAGATCTATTATTTAGATTTGTGTGAATCTTCAAATTAAGTACATGCGCGGTAGCCCAGTCACTTGAAAATCAACTGCAAACCTGGGCCTGAGGGTCCCGCATGGCGGCATGGGCATATTAGACATTTTGCAAATTTTATACTCTCATCAGATTTGAGAGATTTTCTCCCAGATCGTAGGTAAAGCTAGGTGCCGGTCTATAAAAGCTCAAGGCCCAACTGATAACTATAGTAACATGGCCAGGCATATTTTTCAAGCTTGCCCGGTGTGGATATACACGCAGAGTAACATCACAAGCATCATATTCACCTGAGCATATAACACCAACACAAAAAAATCATGATATTTCCTATAAGCCAAAATTGATTTTCTGAGGCCTAATTTCTCACCAATTTCCACGATCACCATCCTAGTTGACTTGCCTCGCTCGCAATGTAGGCGCGGCTAACTGTTAATTAGTTTTGGCTGCCTGCAAGTTTGGTTCATGTGCGATTCTATATTTTTCTAGCTCGAAGTGCTGTATTTGAAGCTGAATCTGAAGGAGAATCAGAGAAAAGCGAAGATTTACAGGAAGGAAGTTGTCCTGTCTTAATTGATGATAATGAATCTGAGAGAGTAAGTACCACTTGACTTATGGCATGGTTTCTGCTCCAACGATTAGTGTATTTTCCTTATTTGTGAATTTCCGTAAGCGTGGCTGGAGGCAACAATTCTGTCATCAAGTGTAGTATATTATAATTCAACTAGATTGATCTTTTTGCATGTGACAAGTTGTGTCACACGTGTGCTTGCCGACCATGTTGCGACTTATTTTATACCCACGATGTCAAACTTGTTGCAACCACGAGTCGTCAAACGACGGTAGGTAACAACTGGCATTTTGAAGTGCGAACACATTTGATCGATTTCCTACCGAATTGCCTCTTTGGGGGTTCGGGACAACTTTTGAGATTTTAAGGTGTTTTCGTATGTCGCGTTTTATTACCCGCTACACTCTAAATAATACTCACTGACTCTTTCACATATTATTTCATATATGAAATTAAGTGTGGAATGGGAATGTTTCATGAAACTGATTTTCACGTATTCTTCCACATGTGAAAGTAAAGGTTTATGTGACATATGTGACATTTTTGTTAGGGCACATCCATTTTTCAGTCTTCATATTTTATATATTTTTTCTCGAAACAGCAATGTGATATTTGCTTCGAAAAATTCGAAACATTTTGGGACGAGACATCTGAAGATTGGCATTACAAGAATGCAGTAAGAGTTGATGGAAAGGTACAAATTACAAGTTGTGTTGTATTGTTAAATAGGCAATTCCAGCTTTTAGTTTATGCCTGCAGGGGATGATGGGAAGTAAGGTATCATATTGCCGATTATGCTGAAAAAATTCAATAAAAACTACCGAAACAACCGAAATATTTCATATTTACAAGTATAAGCTATCACTCCGTGCTTACACGGCCACCATTTTTATTTTTTCAGCATAATCAGCAATATGATATAACTAAAAGCTTGAATTGCCAATTAACTTTATTTTTATTTAATGTAACAATTCTTAAAGGGCCCATAGTAATTGGTGTATACTGTTGTGGTGACCCTGCCACTCGTATATTTTAAGTGGCGAAGTTTAATAAATAAATTAATTTTATTTGTAATAGTCTTGTATAATATTTAACATTGGACGATTGCATTTTTTAGACATATCATTATTTGTGTTATCAAGATGCAAAAGAGGTAAGATGACCAACCGTTTATATGACTCCTAGTGTAGAATCTGGAGGCCTTTCATAGTCTCGCGGGTGTGGTGAGAAAGTAAGCGGCTGCATGTCCTCAATGCAGGAATATGTTTACTATTAAGGAAATAATTTATGACAGTATTAGAATTGTTGTCATCTTTTTTGTACATTTGTTTCTTGGTCAATTAACTGAACAAGCTATTAAGCTTTATCAATAGGATAAACGCTGCATGATTAGGATGAGCAGAGGTTTTTAAATAATTAAACTTACATATCTGACTTTATTAGTTTATTATTACTATTCCTTTTCCATTGCTTAAAAGCGAGATTGATGCACAGTATATTTTAAAGAAAGTAGCTGGCAGTAAACCTCAACACTCGCCACAGCCTTGTCCCAACTAACCTGCGACCAGGCTTTTATAGCATGAATAGACACTGCCTTTTCAAACTAAGGCCTCTTTTCCTTTTATCCCAAGAATCAACTCGCAATCTCTCTGCGAGTACACCAATCACAATGCTCGACAGTTTATTTTAATTTGGTACTTGCACTTGCAGCGAGCTTGCATGCGAGTTGGTTTTGCGATGGGGGAAAAGAGCCTTAACTGGGTACTAAAACTCTAACCGCACTGTACCAATGTTAAATCTAATTGTTTTTACAGCTGTTGGACTTTAGATTATCATTTCTAGATTCTAGACATGCGCTAGTAAATGCAAGCGCAACAAGGCCTATTTACTGTAACAAACTTTTCCCACAGTATCAGTGCAAGCCTGGATTTAGTATTTAGCATGCAGGCATGTATGTCATTTTTTGTGGGACACATCTCAGTCGTTTTCCAAAGGAATTGACATGGTGGCACTGGCGTACGGTAAATGGATCATAGAGATTATATAATGTTATTTATTATATGGCTTTTCAAAATTCTCTGTTCTGATTGGTTGACAAGCGGTCCGTAAAAACCCATATCCGGACCGTGGTCCGTATTTTTCGTATCTGGACCGGTGTCCCGGATGTCGTTTATCTGGCGGGAAATTTTTGCTTTGCAAACAGAAAAAATTTTGCTTTTTAAATTTCCAATTGTGCTTTACAGATAAAAATTTCAAACAACCAAATTGTTTAAAACTGACGATAGCCAATTTAATTTGCGCGAAAAGCATATGCTCACAGACTCAGTTCAGCCATATAATAAACCGATTATTGACCTCGCTTGTTCGGTCTGTACTGTGAAATATCAGACCTCTGTTTTTTGCATGGACCTCGCTCCTTCGTCACTCGGTCCATGCTAAAAAACCTCTGTCTGATATTTCACAGTACAGACCTCACGCTCGGTCAATAAGCCGTTATTACAATCTCTATGAAATGGATGGTAAATCTACTCTTCAATCATGTTTGATAGATTATGTTTGTAGAAACCGGTTTTTCTCTCGATATTTTACTACAAATATAAAAGAACAGGGTTTTTAAAATACTTTGCTAAGCAATCTGACATATGTATGTGATTATGTTCTTATATGCAGGCTGGTGATAGTGATGTCGAGGCCAGTGATGAAAGAGAGAATACTGAAGACAATGAAGATGATAACAACGATACTTCAGAGAATAACGAAGCAGTTACTATAGGAAGTAGCATTACTGACGATAAACCATCTATAGTAACGCAGGATACTACACTAGAATCAGGAGTAGATTCAGTAGTACAGGGGAGTGATGAGCTAGCCGTAAACAACTCCAATAAAGAAGAGATAAAAACCGAGTCTTCTTAAAATTCTACATTCCATCACATTTCTTCAGTATTCGTCGTGCGTCGTTCCGTTGTACATGGCTCGAATACGATCCATTACATGTGGATCGTACGGCCGTGTCTATTTCTCATGTTGATTAATTTTTGTTTTGCCCGTTTATGTGTTCGTCTTTTGGGGTTGAAAAACACAACCATTGCATTCGGAATAAAAGTTGCGTTTACACAGACTGATATTTGGGCGTTCCCATACGATTAGGTCGATTAGGAGTACAAAATTCGTTATTTGTGCGCCAGTCACGCCATAACACTGACATGCGTAAAAAATATAGCGTTATTGGCGCTTAGCGTTATTGTACTCGTTGTATGTATGCACTTGTTATCAAACTTAAAGCCCTCTAATAACCATCGTCGTTCGATATATATTATTGAGTTTAAGTTAAGAAAATTAAATTGACGCAACAAATCACGGTCTGTAAACGTATAATAAGAATTTAAAATTATCTTCGTGAGAAAACTGCTTCACGTCAGGTCTTATTCACCACATTCTTTTCGTACATGATATGTGTGTTTCTCAGTTTGTTTGTCTCAATGTTGTTGTTTTTGTTTGTTTCAATGTTGTTTGTCCTATATGTTGATGTTTGGACGGCTGTATTTTTTCGTGGTCGTTGAAATTGAAGCCCACCTACATCTTGAAAGTGAATGAGTTCTCGTCCAGAAAAAACAACAATTGTCCATTTTATTTATTACATTGTATTGAATGTATATCAAGTTTAACCATTCACGTGAACTGGCTGTAGTATTTGCAGAGCAAAGCGAAAATATTAAATTCATAAAGAGACATTCCCTCTTTTTTAAAATATTGTGATCTTGTGGTCTAAAAGAAATAAAAGTTTGTTGTTTAAAAACGTTGTGTAGTCCAGTATTCTACCTATATATTAATAAATACCTACCCAGCTTTAAAAGGAAATACCTTGTGTTTGGTGGCAAATAGGAGACATTAGCATATTTTCGCTAACGAGAGTCAATACGTTCAGTTGCACCATGCATGTGCATCTGGCTGCATCGATATAATACATCAGAGTTCATTCTGTTTTTCATTGATTGAGAACTTACGATTTATTAGACGACAAATCATGCAGTGCACGATTCCCTAAATATTGTAATAACATAATACCCACACGGTAAGAAAGGGCACATTGACCTTCACAAAATCTCATAATTTGATGTTAATGGGTAAATACAGTGAATACTGATCAAAATACAGCCATTCAACAAATGTATAGATTTCCAGACGACCATGCATTTCTTAGTAAGTTTAGAGTTTTTGAATGGCTGTGTCTTGAATAATATTGACCCGATTAGCATCAAACTTGTCAATGACAATGTTCTTTGCTAGGACTTCGTGAAGGCAATACTATTTCCAGTCTTTTGATACAAGCAGTAAATACGTGCGGACGTTTGACCGTGCATGGTTACAGTGGTGGTGTTTATCATTGATTATCACAATATTTAGGGACTCGTACCCAGGCTCTCTGGATTTGAAAGTTAGGAAGATTAGAGGGAGCTCACAAGAAAAGGTGCATGTAATATCTTAAGCCAATCACTACAGTTGCATTACCAACTGATGGCTTTGGTTTGTATAGATTATAGATAAAACATGCAAAGAGGAAACAAGAAAAATATCTTTAAGACAACGCAAAAAAAATTCCGATACAAGCAGACGCCCGATAAAAACTCGTGCAGGCTGAAATCCCCCTCCCAATCACTTTTCTAATGGTCGGCTCGCCATTTAACATGCATAGCGCCATTAGCAATATAAATGTTTAGAGTATGATAAAAATTTCAAAATTCACCTAGCTCATAATTGTATAACCTATAATATGGGGAGAACCTATCAGAGTGCACACTTCGAATCACCACTACCTGAAAATTCCACAACATTGGTCAGAGTTTAAAACCGTCATATCAGCATATATTACTATAGGGATACGTACATGATCTGACCGCGCGTAAACAATGCAGTCGGGGACTAAGTAGTAGTATGATTTTATTGAACAGAAATTAATTAATACCACTGATTGTTGGGCTACCTATGATTGCAGACTCACAAATTGCACACTCGCAACACCCATAGTAGACAAACTCGGGGGCTGATACTCTTTGATAAAAGCACTTCTTGGTGTTCAGGCCGTTTGTCAGGAGTTTGCGGAAACCTCGGAAGAGTACACACTGGACCATCAAGGCCAACTAGAGTGTTTCAATTTGAAAGATTTTTAAGTACATTTGACGGTTGAAATTGTCTTTCAATACTCAAATGTTCAGCTTCACTTATTGACCTGAAATTTCTATTGAATATACCAACAATCGTCCTTAATTAAATTAGAAAGAAACGGATAAAACGCGAATCGCAAACGTTATCTATTTTGGTGGGTCATGTGTCGTTTAGCAGGTGGCAGAGAATTGGAAGACTGGCCACCTGCATAATTAAGTTGTATTAACACGAATGATTGTCCATTGCAATACAAATTCCATTGCCGATTTATATATTGTGCATATACTGTTCTTGATGCAAGTCAAACATTTTGGTAATAGCTGTATTTGTTCTAGTCGCTCTATATCGGGAACTTATCTAATGGAGAATACATACATGGAAGTTTGGCCACCAACCTGCCGATTTCGCGGGCTTCTAGTTTTGATTTGCATTATATGCGTTGTAATATATGCGTGCCTACCTTTTTTGCTAATATGTATAATCAATGAACATCTGAACAAATATAATTACGATAATGATATGCAATCAGTTTCCTTAGTTACTGTCTGACAATGAATGATTAATTTCTTTCGATTAAGATCAATTTTTTTCTTATCGTATAAACTAAACATTGAATATTTTATATCAGAATTAAAGAAACAGAAAACATAAACGCCCGATGCACTTCATTTGCCTTTAATTAATTGACAAGCGTTTAAAGATTTTTGAACTCCCGATAAGAAATTAAAATACATCTACCTGCTAAGATATTGTTTGGGTCAAGATTATGTAATGTTCATGTTCTGAGCTGGGCGTGTGCTCGATGGAGTTTTTTTGTGTGATGACATCAGAAGTTTTATGTTGTAGCTCTATATTTGAATATTCGCTCACGTTCGACATAAACCTATGCATTTTCATTGTTGTGTTTAGTTTGTATTTATTTACGAAGAAGAGTGCACGTAAATCGAGATGACTGAGATAGAATTTCAACGTATGACTTTCTTTGTTGTTCTCAGTGTGTTAACATATGCAGCGACAAATGCTGCCACTATAGAGAGACGTGATTTGGAATCGAATAATTGGAAATATCATAATTACGAAGGTATGACTAAATTGTTACAAGAATTCGCCTCAAAATATCCTAAGATAACACGTCTCTACCACATCGGAGAGTCAGTGCAAGGTCGCAAACTCTGGGTAATGGAGATATCAAATAAGCCTGGAAAACATCAAGTCGGTGTACCTGAATTTAAATACATTGCAAACATGCACGGTAATGAAGCTGTTGGGAGAGAGGTTCTCTTGAAATTGATCAAGGAATTTTGTGAAGGATATAAATCTGACGCTGAGATAAAAAGACTGATAAAAACAACACGTATTCATTTAATGCCCAGTATGAATCCAGACGGTTTTGAATTGGCATTCAATTCTGGGACAGATTCAAAACGTGACTGGCTGCTTGGCCGTTCAAATGCTAATAATGTTGATCTTAACCGTAACTTCCCAGATCAGTATTTTGGATTAACAAGTGGTAAACCCCAGCCAGAGACTGCAGCTGTAATGAAGTGGGTTAAATCATATCCCTTCGTATTGAGTGCTAACCTCCATGGCGGTTCATTAGTTGCTAATTATCCCTATGATGATACAATAAACGGTGAATCAAAATACAGTGAGTCTCCTGATGATGAAATATTCCAAGCATTGGCTAAGACGTTCTCTGAAAACCACTCCACAATGCATCTGAAAAATCCACCTTGGCCGTGTCCTGAAGTGCCTGCGGAACATTTTCGTGATGGAATTACAAATGGAGCTAAATGGTACAGCGTCACAGGAGGAATGCAAGATTACAACTATATCAGAAGTAACTGTTTTGAAATTACAGTTGAACAGGGTTGTAGGAAGTTTCCACCTGCTGCTGATTTACCTAAATATTGGCTGGAAAATAAAAATCCTCTACTGGCTTTTCTAGATCAGGTAATTCATCCTGTTTTACTTTTTTGCTGTAAAGAATAGATGCATAATTGCTTATATCAATAAATGTAAAATTATTGATGATGAAGCCGCTACAACTAAAACTATAAACTAAACAATTTGTATTTTTAGGTACACAAAGGAGTGAAAGGTGTTGTCAAAGATGAGTCTGGACAACCAGTCAAAGGGGCAAAAATATCCATAAAAAACAAACGTAAGGATGTGAAAACAGCTGTAGATGGTGATTACTGGCGACTGTTATTACCTGGTGAATACGACGTGACTGCATCAGCACGTGGTTACATCAGCTCTACTAAGAAAGCGAAAGTTGAAGACGCGCCAGCTGCTCAAATCAATTTTGTCTTAAAGAAAGTCAACTCTCAATATAAACCTCATGAACCTCATCAGTATGACCAAATGGCGCACGCAGGCGATAAACCTGGGACGGGGGTCATTCCGGGACCACTGTTTGGTGCTGGCTTCCCTGAAAAAAATACCCGTCCTTCTGGTGGAGGTCTGGCGACAAGTAGTATCATGAATCAGGGTGGAGGAAATGCGGGTTGGGGAAATTATGGTAACGTAGCAACTGCAGGAGCTGGCGACGGTGCTGTCCCTGCACAAACATTGCAGGATGGTCCAACAGGAATGTCAGATGAAATGTCCAACCCTGTCGGACATTTGGAAACTGGGATTGATTCCTCCCCAAACGTTGGGATTTTACCAAGTGCAAGGATTGAGGATGGACTCATTTCAAATTACCAAAGTGAAACAACTCTTCCAAAACTGAACAGTATGACAGGAATTGATGCAATGGGTTCAAATTCTGTGGAGAGATTTACAACTACAAATCAAGCCAGCCCCGCAATGCAGGGAGGAAGTCTTGATTCCATTGCAATGTCGTCTCCTTATGAGTCTAACGCAAGAGATTATCTAGATGGACAGTACTCGGCTAGAAATGCACAACTTGGAATGGGTTGACGTTTTACAACTGGTTCATTTAACAACCGTTTGATGAGATACACATCGAAATATTGATAAATACATGACACGATGACTATTCAGGATTTATTGGAGCAACGATCATGAATTTGACGATTAGTGTTGTCCTTAGTGCACCACTCAACCTGTATCGATGTTAGAATAGGCTACATTTAAGTCAGTGTCAAGAAGCTTTAATTTAAATCTAATTAGCCTGCGAACAGGCTCACTGGAACTAAAATCTAATCCATGTAGAGTACGACTATATGACTACATGTTAGTGTAGTCTGCGTGACGTAGATTGAGTGTGTATAACGTATGTAGAAGGTGAAAAATAGATTGTATAAGCTTTCCAACTGAAGACTACCCTGGGTTCAGAGGTTTTCTGTTGTCAGAGTTTCCAAGCTTGGCACTAGGACAGCACGTCCGTTGTTTGCTAATATGGAAAATATTTGGCAGCTCTGGATAGTACATAGTATTTATATATAGAAAGTAGTGATGTAAAGGACATGGATTGCTTCGAAATGCATGTGTTATGTGTAGACGAATAAACTTTAACAAACAAACTGACTTCAAACTATTTGAATTTAATTTTTTATTAGTAATTTGCTAACGCCTCGGCTAACGCCATGTAAAAAATATCCCGGTTTATTACCTCAGCTCAGCGCCCGCATCTGTTTTTCGTGCCGGATGGAATTCTTTTTTTAGTCACTGCAAGCAAGTTCATGATAAATATTACGTGTAAGTGCTGTTCATTCTCACATGGCGGAAATTAGGATGAAAAGTGTAATACCATTCGAAAATATTATTCCATGCATACGATTGTGCTGCTTGATTTGAACATATTCTTCCGTGCATGCATCTATAATGATATAATAACGTAATTCAAGCGCTTTCATTGGTCGAGAGCTGGCCGTGATCTATTAGAGGACAGACGCACGGAATTCCGTCACACAAAACTTTATTTTGGTTTTTAATTAAATAAAAATGACTTAATTAAGACCTCTTTTACACGGTACCGGACGAATTTGGAACCGGGCTGAAATTCGTCCCTTTCGGCCGTCTAAACACACGGAACCGGACGAATTTGAGACCCCCTAACAGGACGAATTCGCGTGTGAACAGGAGAAAAAGGACGAATTTCAGACCGATCCCAAATTCGTCCGGTACCGTGTAAACGGGGTCTAAGGTAGCCAATAGCATTCGCAGATCATGTACGCGTGATATTTGTAAAATTTAGACTTTTTCATGTTTCCAAATGTTTGGGTGGACAAAATTGAAGTAATTTAATTCGTGGTTTTTCTTTTTATTATATATTGCAAATGGATAAGATTTTGCCGTTGTCTGTTCAGTTATAGATACATAGTATGACGTCATAATGTGGGAAGACAGTATGACGTCATAATGTGAGAGAACAAAAAAGTGGCTCATGAGCGAGGCAAGTGGGTCACTTTGTTCTTCCCAAATTATGATGTCATATTGTGGAGCTATTACTGAACGAACAACGGCAAAATCTTGTCTATTTTGTTAAATTGTGAAGATGTGATTAGGTATAAAAAATCCGCCCGCCTGCACGGAATCTTTTGGCTGCTGCTCATGATAAACCGCGGGAATAGTTCTTTACGTGGCAAAAGTGGAACAAAATTATTAATTGTGCAGATTTTAATCGAATATGGCCAGTTTAATTTTTTTACCAGTAAGTTATCATTAAACAAAAGCGCAAGTTACTCATCTGATGCTTATATTTTATACATGCAGTGGCACTGTCAGTGCATAAACCAGCTCTGTACATATAAATTCAAGAAAATGTCTTTCAGTACTTTATTCTTTAATCCGATTTGAGTACTTTCATGCCGCATTTATGAAGACGACTTTGAACCGTTGAGATTACCAATGCCATTTCAAAATCGAGAAAGTCATCTTCATAAATGCATGGAAGTACTCAAATCGGATTAAAGAAAAAGTACTGAAAGACATTTTCATGTGAATCAAATATATATCATGTCATGTGAATCAAATCTCAAAAACATATATATAAAAATAATATACGAGGCGAGATCTCGCCACTTGCGAGTCAGTCCGGCTCATATATGAACCAGTAATTCTACCAGTTAATAAATACCTACCAGTTTAACATGCTTTATATAGGCTGTATGAGCATTTTGTTTTGATAACAGCGAGAAACATGGTTGTTCGAAATGCACATGCACATTAAATATTTATGACAAAGTCTCCGTAAACATTTTCAAAATTGTTTATTTCTATACATTTCTATATGAGAAAAGTAAAATCATTTTAAAATTCTTAGACATTTTACACTGTCAATAATCTAAAACTAATAAAGTGGCTATAATTGGCTATAGGTCCATAATAGGTTCAGTAAAACTTCAGTTCTAGTAGTTTTAATTTATTACAGACTTTCTACAATCACTGGAATTTACATTTACAGGCTGACACAGTTTATTAATTAAATCACATTCTACGCTTTTTAGCCTGACTTGGTGAACATACGAAATTGTAAATTTGACAAAACTGTACTACAGTATCAGCTGTTCCCGATCAATCTATCGGCAATCAATCAATCATAAACGATTATTATCGATAACTAAATCATATTAGATAAATGAAATTAGAACACATTCAACTTGTGTGAAACGTACTACAGGTCCCAGCTAACTTGTTACATAAATCGATATATACAATGGGAAATTGCGAGAATCTATAACATTCGACATTATCAGCCAATGAGACTGCATCTTTTCGGATGTTTTAGCCAGTGGCAGACACTGAAAGCCTTTGAATGACTGAGTGTGTAACAAAACTAAATAATAGCCGAATAACTGTGTAACAAAGCTGTAACATGAATAATTTTTCAACCATGAAACCATTCATTTTGGTAAGCTATAAATTAAGCAAGGCAAAAAAGTTTAAAGAATTACGATTTCCAGCTACAAAAGGTGGTCATATCTTGGAAACCTAATTCGTCACTGACCCACCTAATAGTGAGGTTTAGACTCGCCTTCCACTCCCATTACCTTGTACAAACTATAAGTACGCGTCTGATTGGTTAACGGATCTAAACCTCAGCTAAGGGTCCGCCACTGGTTTTTAAAAGAAATATCATGCGGTGCATATAGTTGTACTGATGATTCAAATGTCTTATTATTGTGGGCATAATTGATTACCAATGACGTGTGAGCAGCTATACAAATTAGATAATTAGCCTAGCAACATATTTCAAGCTCCAGGACCTGGTAAATAATAATATATACAATACATTATTAGTCCACATCTTCCAAAAGACGATTGCGGGTCATATATTTGTGACGCAGAACATAAGCCAAGAGCCCAAAAGAGAACACTAATGGGATGTAGCTTAGAATCGAGATAACAGTTTGGAAGTTTTTGTAATAAGAGTGGCCATAAATGCCAGAAGCAGTACCACCAAAACTGCTAATTAGACAGAGATTACACAACAAAACAGCATCAGAGATATTTAGTATTCTGTATGGTACTACTGTACCACCATTGGTATTGTCTGCATAAGGTTGACACAAAACAAATATAGCCAAGATAATACAACAAACACTATTCAACAAACTAACTTGCAATGCACTTTGAGGAACAGCGAGACGTACCACAAGTAAGATAAATCGACAAACAAAATAGTAACCTGCGCACCACTGATAACCATCACGAAAACATCGCTGGAAGTTATCAAGTAAAAGTTTCTTTAAACCTTTATCAAAGGACCTAAACCACTGACGGCGAATAAGAAGCAACGGAAAAAATATACCAACAAATATCACCAAGAGTAGAGCAAACACAGCAAAAATTACATGGTAGAAGCTGAAATACCCAACATCTCCCTGGTAGTACATGAAATACTCATTACCTACTTTGACAGGACGAAGAATTTTCAAGCTGATATTGATCACAGTAGAATATGACAGTACAAATAGAGTACAAAATGCTCGAGCCAAAGAAGTCTGTGTTAACCGACGTGTGAAAAAGTTATTGGGCCATTGTACAACTATCTTGCCAAGGACAAACAAACAAATAAAAACATAGACAGGCAGTATATAGTTGAAAGCTAATTTCTGCAAGTCATCCATGTTTGACCACATGCATACACTACCAAATCCAAGAATCTGAATATGGGCAAGATTAATAATGAAGGTTAGAAAAGGATCAAAACTCATATCACCAGGTGTTAAAGATAACAGTACTTGATAAGAATATAGCCATGCATTAAGATAAGCGCTAAAAGGGTCAAAATTAATTAGCATAATGAAAAGCACTAATAAAGTTAGAGATAATAATATAGCGACTAGATAACCTATCCATTTCAGTGAATCAGAATTACACTCCCTTGTACAATCATCTTCACCAATTTTTAAAAAAAAGCCCTTCTTGCACCTTCCACACACTTGCTTTTCTCTGTTACCCCTACATTGCTTATCTCTCTCAAACAGACACTCACCACTGGATGTAAAATTCTTGTGACAATAGCAGTAGTTTTCTGGACATGATACAATAACAAATGTCCCACCTGATTGTACATAGCCTCCCCAATAGCCTTTTAACAAAAACAATGTTTGTTTCTCATAATCACATCGTGACACACCATTCTGTGTGTCATCACACTGACATTTAGATTCTTTCCAATGAAATCCAGGTTCACATCCTTTGATCTCTGCATTAAATATGTTGTCGAACACTAGTTGGCTGTCAACAGTTACCAGGTTAACGCCATAACGTGTTTTAGGTTGACCATTGATTTGAAGGGATTTAATATTATCTTTAGCAAGAAAATATGCTGATGAAGGATCAAGTTTTACAGTGTTTTCTGCGGAAATTATTTGAATGTTTATAACACCAACAACACTGTTAGATTTCTCATCAGTTAGCTTGACAACTGGAGAGAAGCTCTTATCCACTGTTGTATTCCAATCACTTCCATTTACTTCAATATTTACTGCATCAGTTACTATCTCATAAACCATGTCAGATTTATAAGTTCCATTGGCATAATAATAACAAAATGACTTCGTTTGGAGGGCTGAATTATCCACTCTACCTTCATTAACACGACGACAAAATTGCAATGTGGTTGCATAAACAGAGTGGCCAGAAGTGTTGGTTGAACCTCTATTGCCATAGAAGGAAACACTGCAGTCGTCATCATTTTCAAAATGGAAAAAGCAATCATGCAACATAAGTTCAGTGGAATTAAATGCACGCAACTGTGGTCCTGGTGTTCTCACATAGATTGCACCACCTTGAACAGTACATTTATTCTCAATAAAAGTGAGATTTGCCTGGTCAGAAACAATTACCTTGCTTGTACCATATAAAGACATTGCACCACCTCTTTGGCCAGTGTTGTTTATAAATGAAACATTTCCAAAGACTTCAACATAAGCACTGTCAAGTACCAAGGCAGTTTCTGTATTATAAATAAATGTTGTATTGCATAATATGATTGGTGTACCCTTTGCATAAATGGCTCCAGTTCCTGATACTTTTTCTTCTCTAGGATAAATAATTTTGTTGCTCCCAAAATGTGAATTTGCAATAGAAATCTTTAATGAGCTGCCACTGCTGCCCATTCCATACTGATTAGTATTCAAAACTGAACAAAATGCAGAGCCAATTGTTGCCCAATTCTCCTCAATCACACAATGTGTTAAACTTATAAAGCTTTGATCATGGAAACCTGACTGCTTTGTTGTTCCATATAAAGATATGCCTCCACCAACAATTGCTTTGTTGTATTTAAAATGACAAGATGCAAATCTTACCCAATTTGGAACACAACTACTTTGAGGCCTTTGATGCTTGGCTATCAGTCCAATTCTAACAGCACCACCTCCAACACTGGCATCATTGTGATTGAAATGACATGATTGAAATATTAAACTGTTACTTTTGGTATTGTCTTGGAATTCAACAAACAGGCCTGCACCCCATTTAGCAGAGTTACCATCAAAGTGGCAGTTTTCAAAAACAAATTTGTTGTTTTGTGCAGAACCTTTAATAAAAAATGATACACCACCACCACGCCCAAAGGCATCATGATTATAATCACCTGCATCAAAAGTCGAAGCAGCTACTTTAGGAGCGTGATTACGTTCAAAAGTGACATTAATGAAATAAAATGTACCATTTTCTTGATAGATATGTTCTGGAGGTGCCTTAAAAGGATATAACCCACCCATGTACGTGAACTCAAAGTAGAATCCTCCTCCTGGAAATAAACTGTCCTGCTTATTTTTCCCATTTTTGGTAAAACGTGAATTGGAAATACTCACATTACCTGCGACGTCGTACAGTTGCATTCCTATCCCAGGTGCCTCACTTATCCAAACCATGTCCATGCTCAAATTAATGCAATTTACCAGAAACAATCCTGTTAAAAAAATCCGATGCTTTGTGGAATGCTCAGGAATTATCGATGTGCTGTTTTGAATTGCCCCACATGAAGATAAAATAATATTCTTCATTATAATCTCTGAACTATTAATAAAGGAAAGACCAGCATTTTTTTTACAATGGATCACAACATCATATAAACTGGTTAAACCAATTATTGCAAAATGGTTGACATGCCAAAACGTGAAACTTTTGTTCAGAGGATAATTTCCTAGCTCCATATAAACTACAGTTGAATTTTGTTCCTTTATATTTTCAAAAACATAATACAAACTCTGGCACGGAATAATGTTTTTCAAGCATTCTGGTTTGTCATGGCCAGTGGTTGATACACAAATAATGTTGTGCTCCGTACTATTGTCGTGGTTCTCGCAGTTCTCGTGCGAGTTTACAACACTTGGGAGCAACACAACTAGTACTCCCAAAGTCCATCTTAAAACGAAAAGATACATCAGTGATCAGTTCAATATAACGACGTTTCTTGCTGACGAAGAACTGGTCATTTATACATACACAGTTTTAAACCCATAAAAGCAACACTTCTAGTTCTAGAGCGCGGAAGTTTAGCGGAAGTTGTGCTCGAGTTGATGGGTTCAATTTTGGTTTGCGCATTGTGTGAAAATATTTCTAAGTTTTCTATTTATAAACTTTTCTGTGCACGAATTTTTTTTCATCCCCCAATTGCTTGCAAGATTTTTTTTTTCTGCAACATTCCTTTGCACGATATTTTTTTAAGATTACCTAAAAAAATTTTCCAGGAAAGTTCGTGGGGGGGGGGAAGAGAGGAAGAAGACATAAATTTTTTCGATTGTCGTAAAACACCATTTCAATGTTTTAAAATAATTGCATTACGATTTTAAAAATCACCCCTAGTTCTTGCTCGATTTTTTTTCAATAGGTTTGTTGTGCACGATATTTTTTTCTGGATTTTTTCTGTGCGCGAATTTTTTTTTGGTATTTGCCCAACACCCATCCCCCCCCCCCCCAAATATCTGATGGTCCGTCCCTAAAGTATAAACAAGATTTAATAAACAAGCTGTTGAGAAATTTGCTGTAAAGTTTCACGCTAACGTAAATAAAAAATAAAAGGGCGTAACGTCGTAACCGCCGGGGGGGGGGGGAAGGGGGACGTATGCTGACAGCAGCTGACTTGAACAAAAGGGCCAAGGTCGCAGTATTAAAACACTGCTTGAGCTTACTTCTTTTTCTGAGAACAAAAGCAATTTGAAAAAAAGTGTTTGAAACTTTGAAGTGCCGATAAAATCCAGCCACTCACCCTTTATATTTAGTTATTTTCATTCAGTAAAAATTATATGTGGCAAGTCCCTCCCCCCTGAAGTTACAAGCTCATTCTGTCATTCAGTTGTGATTTGTGTTCCGAAGTGTAAAACTGTAAATATTTATGGATTATGGCTAATGTGGAAAAAGTGCACTATGGCAAACGACCCAAACTAGAAGTTGGTAGTATATTAAATCATGATCATTCAATATTCATTATTCCTGTTAAATTCAGCAAAGCAAGGTTCACATTGTTGAAAGATATATGCAAATCGAAGAGCCTTCAAGTTACTGAGCAGTTTAGGTACAGTATTTTTATTAGATTTATTTCTCGTGTTGAACATGATCACGAGTGAGCGCAGCGAACGAGTGAGATATCATGTTATATATATATTTTCTGTTTATTATATATAAAAGGGCAGTCTTTCAAAAGCAATAATTTTTACAGAAAGCGATATATGAAAAGCGCTAATTTTGAAAATTTTCACATGTTTATCAGGGCATTTTTTAAGAATTCGTCAGTGGGGGGGGGGGG